ATTTTCTAGCTGTATTTTTTCACTCATATTATAGCTCAATTACATTTTTGGTGCTTGTACAACTTGCTTAGGGAGGTGGAAGTGTAAAGTTTTCTCTAATGTTTGCGATAATGGAACCTTAGAGCAATTAGATCATCCATTACTAGAAGCCTTGACGTATCTCCTTTCATAGGTCTTTAGGTGGTTTATGGGACTGTCCAAGCATCCCTGATAAATAGCTAGAAGAAGAAATGTATGTATGGTTGGTGCATTGGATAGTTTTCAAGTTCCTTTTGTCATGAACATCTATTAAGAGGAGGAAAATCCTTCGGTAAACATTGAAATTATAGTTCCTATTGCTTGAGACAAGCTACTCAAAGCAAACATATGAAAAACCTGCTGGGGGAAATGATAACTGTTAAATTCCACTTGAAAATCAATTAGTGAAAGGAGCAATGCATATATTTAAATCTAGAAGACATGTGACTTTAATGCTTTTCCATATAATTTAAGGATTTCAATGTTATTGCTTCAAAATTGATTTTGGTTCTAGGCATGTGGTTTGTTTTATCTGGATGCAGTTACGTTAATGAAATATTAAATATTTTTTTTTCTATTGTAGCCCAAACACGAAGAATACTTAATTTTAAGGTTAGCCTAAGATCTTTGATTGTCTGACTATCTTTTTTAAAATAATTGTTTATCTGACCAAATATGCATCTAGACTAGGAACCAATTTTGCAGAGATTGATGAATTGCTCCATCTGCTTCTCCTTGTTCGTAATTCAAGTATTTTTTTCTCTCACTGTAAAAAAATATTACATTAGCTGCCACATTAGTGGAAGTTCAGTCCAGAAATTGTTGGATAAAGCTTCATAGTAAGGTCGTAGTATAAATCAACAACTTGCAGGGAAATAACATCAATGTTGAAACAAAGTGCTCAACTTCTTTTAGTCTCTCTATATGTATGTGTATGTGTATGTGAATGTATGTGGAGCAGAAACATGTATCTTTTACCAATTAGTATGTTTTGTTTGATTTTGGTTTGTTTGTTCCGTAGGCTGATGTAGGGTCAAACAGGGTGACATTATATGATATACTGGTGGGAGCATACCCTTTTGAGGACCAAGAAAATACAAAGAACTTCAAGAAAACACTGAGTATTTTCTTTTGGAGAAAAAGTATCAAATATTTCTTATTGGTTTGACACAATAAAATATTACCTTCATACCCTTACACTTAACCTCTTGTGATCTTATTATCCCAAACCAAAACCGTTAAGAATTGCTTTAAAGTTAACAAGGCAATGTCAAAATTCAATATTTTTAATATAACATATTTGGATAATATCATTACTCGGCTTCATACTTGAGGTGGTTCTTTTCATTTGTTAACTTTGAGAAGAAAATGTGTTACGTTCTTATCCCTTTTTCTCAATAGTTAATTTATTTAACTTCATTCTTCTATTTTACTTGGTCAGAAGGCTGACCTAAGGTATTAAATGCAAAGACAATGCACTAATTTAGTGTCAATGTGATAATTTTCCTTTCTTACAATATGTGATACAGTTTTAGCCGAGTGTCCCTTCAAAGATGAAGAGGAAGAAAGACAACTCTTGCTCTTGCATCACAAAGAACTAATTATACATCCAAAACTCTAATCACAGTGCTTGATGTGAAAGAGGACTACTGAAAATTTTCTCTCCTTGGTAAAGATTGCATTGAACAATTACCTTTTGATCAAAACTCAAGCTATTACAAGCTGTCTTGGGAATATATGATTTTCAATTATGTGTCTTACTACTTTGTCTTCCTTATTGTTTTTTGGTAGTTTTTTCTGATTTTAAATTTTTCATGATTTTTCCATTGGAATATTATTATTCCAATTAGGGATTGGAATCGTTTGTCTGAAGGATTGTAATAGTTGGTCCAACATATTTCACATGTGCTTTTGGAACATTTTATGGCAGGCCTTTTTTTTTTTTTTTTTCATATTCTTCTCTTCCTTTCATCCTTTGTTGCAGAGTGTGAGCCTCAACTTGTCTTTGGGTGGCTAAGTATTTTGGGTCGGTCAACAATGTCTTAGCTTTTTGTGATACTTGGTCTTATATTCTATTAGTCCTGAGAATCAATTTATTTTTGTGTTGGTATTCCTTTTGTATTTTCTGTGTATGGGATTTTTTAAAATCTTGCAATTTCAAATTGTTTAACCATTCGTTTTTTTCTAAAAGGTTTAACCATTCACTTGTTTGTGGGTGTTTATGTGTAGGAGGAACCCATTTATGAAAAGAGAACACAGATCATGGATTGTCTTGCTTGTTTTTGTTGGTTATCTACTTTTCTCAAGTTACAAGAGATGGTTATTTACCAAAGATAACAATGACCATTCCATTCTCCATAGACTTCACTATAGGGACGAAAGATAACAATGACCATTCTCCATGCACAACAATAGGGAAAGTTACTAATTTATGCTAGGGCCCTTAATAGGCTTAATCATAACAAAACTCCTTGAAAAGAGTTCACGTGCAATAACTAGTACGTATATAAATAATGTGTGTGTGTGTGTGTGTACTCTTCGAATGACTAAGGGCAAAACTGCATGTTGAGCCGCGGGGTCAAATTATTGACTAGTTCCACAAGTTGGCATTCCTCTATATGGTCTTTTAATAAGTATTGTTTTGTGATGAATCGAAAGAGGGGCCATATGCTTAATATCTAGAGAATATTTTTCTTGTACATTTAATTGCTATTAGGTCCAGACGGCAGTAACTAACCTTGTGATAGATTTCTTTGTTTGATAAGTTCATCATGTTTCTAGCTATTTCTAAGTTTTTACTGTCTAATCAAATTTTGAACCTGCTAATTCATGTGATCAATTTGTTGAAATTCATTCATGCTATGCGCATATAAAGTTCAATTCTACAAATTCTAAGAACTGTAAGGTCAATGTGGAGTACAATTCATAATGATGAAAATACAATCCACTGGTCAAAACCCCCAAAAATATAAAAAGCACAACTACTTAGAAGAACAAAAGCTAGGTTCAATTTCACAACTGACGGATCTGCTTCATTACATTACTCGATTCAAATGCACATTAAGTGCCAGTAACAGATGGACAGCATTCTAAGTGAAAGAAATGGAAATCTCGGTCCAATTTCAAAAGATTCAGTGCTGGCATTCTCTAGACAAGTTCACCAAACACTGGTGTTATCAATCGGACCCGGTGAATCAAACATATTATCAGCTAGTAGCCTATTCCACCTGAAACCCCAACCCAACCTCCCCAACCCAACATGTGGCAGGAGGGGAAAAATGCATTTCTGGGTCTAAGAAGCAGAAGCAGAAGCGAACTTGGCAGACCTGAAACCAAATAGCATCTAGCTAAATTCAATTCAAGGCTCGATACCTATAGTAAACACCAGCCGAAACTTTTTTAACCATTTATATATAATCTCATTCGCTGGAGGTCATATTTTTTTTCACACACACTTATAAATTAGACCATATTTTACCGTACAGTGTATCAAAATTCAATATAAATTGATTGATTTAAACTGATAGGAAACTATTAAAATGTGAATAAAAAATATAATGAATCAGATCTAACAAATTAAACAGCCTAATAGTGAAGAGAAATCACCTTTATATTAGCGAAATTTCGCTTGGATAAATCCAAAGAATTCGTGAAAAAATTCAGAAACGCAACTAGGGCTTCCAATCAGAGCACAACTAAATTCTAGAGCAATAGAGTGACTAATTGAGATTTGGTGTTTTCCGGAGGCACGGGACCTCGTTTAGGGTTTCTCTGTGCGTGAAGTTGAATTTTTGGGGAAGAAGGTTAAATGGCTTCGACTGTTTTTCCAAGACTCGCTTTGGGTTTTACTCTAAAGCCACTCGTCTTGTAATAGTGCCACGTGTAAAAGTTTGGGTATTTTAGTAATTGTTTACTGTTTTATAAGAGTAAATACTGGGCGTAACAGAAACACTACGCAATAATAATTTTAAGTTGTATAACAATCCAATAGATAATTGTTTCGAGTAATATCGTCATAAACTATTTTTCTACAATAGTTGTACTTTGTAATCCTTTGATCACCACCAACCCGGTATTGCGTGTTCTCAATTAATGTCATGTTATTTAAGAGTCATTTTACAATGTCATAAATTTTAAATAATTAAATAAATAACATGCAATTGATTGGTTTAAAAATTTCAGAAATTTCTTTTTTCTGTTTTAGTTTTTCACTTATAATTTTTTTGATTATTAAAAATAATACTTGAAATATTTATTCAATAAATAAGTAATTTAAATATAAAATTAATGTAATTGTAACATTTAATATTACATAATTTGAAATATAACATATATCTACTAATTATATTAAATTTAAAAAAATACTTATTTTTTAATTATTATTATAAAATATTAATGTATTTAATTTTTACATTGATACTTTGTTTACCACCAAAAAAAAATAGTTTGAAAAAAAAAATAACACAGCAGCAGCCATAAAAAAATAATAATAATAATAATAGCAACCCCCATTTTATACTTCAGAAAAAAAAACTGCCTGTTGAAGGGCATTGGCATTGAGAACCTATGACTTTCAGTTTGGAAAACATGCACCTCTACCAGCTAACCTATTGCTTTTATATTAATTGAAATACCAATAAATATATTTAAAGACTCACTAAAAAGCCTGAACAGCCAGATAAAACAGGAAAAAAGACACAGCAGGATATAAGAATGAACTTACGACTTCCGGATTGCTTTTATATGATTTTACTACTACACTCGGCACAAAACCACAGCCGAAACTATGCTTTTATAGGAACCTGAATACCTACCAGATCTAATTGCTTTTTGACGATTTTAAAGGCCAAATTAAATATTTAAAGATTCAGTTAAAAAAAAAAAAAAGGTAAGAAGATTTTTCTTTTTCCTTACTTACCTGCACAGTAGTCTCGGATGAGAGAAAGAGAGGCAGACAGGGAGAACCACTCCGATCGTCACAGCAACAGCGATTCTTTGCCTATCGTCACAGCACCGAAGAAGATCAGCAAAGGAGAAAGAAGAACGAAGATAAAACAGAAGAAGAAGATGCAGATTGCAGACCCTATTTCGTTCGATCAAGAGGTATGTCGTAAATCCTTAGTCCTCTTGGTTTTTATAGTTGAAAAAGAGGGGTTTAGGTTACCAATTTCATGTGGTTTCTGCCATGTCCGGTTAAGTTTCACATGGGTTTCTGAGTATCGGCAGACTAGTCTTTTGATATCGTATCGATAGAAGCCGAGGCGGATACGACTCGGCCGATACCTTGAACCTATTATCTATAGTATATGTTTATTTAAAAATTAATCATATTTTATTAATTTTTTTTTCCTAATACCAGTGGACATATATATATTTTTCAATCTATAATTATCCATATATTATTTATACATTGATGGTGATAAATATTTGCAGTAGCACTCATATTTCACTTCGCTATGTTTAATGTGCTAGATAATGTATTATGGGCATATCATACATGCATATTGTTTTTTACATTGTCTTAGATTTTTTCATTATTTTTAAAAAAAAAATTAGGCCTTCTATTTAGCATTTTGCGCATATCGGACGATGCTATGTCGCGACCAATGTGTATCAATGCCTTACATACTGCGACCTTGAACTATTGGAATGTAACCTATCAAAGCTCCCAATTTTGAGCCTCTCTATGGTTTTTTGGAGTCTAAACTACGTTATTTTTTGTAAGGGGGAGCCAATTACTCACCAAGCTTTTGATATCAATGGCAATCTTGTTCAACTTAGGAAATTCCGGTCTAAGCTCCATCGGCCCCGGTATTCTACCAAATTCTAATAATGATCCCATTTCTAACGACAAATTGAGTGAGATAGGTAAATTAGCTCCACCTCACTTTAATGGCCCTGCATAATCTACTCGATGAGAATATTTAACCTATAGTCACCTGATATACCTCGGCCTCATATGACCGACAATCTAGGTAAAATGACCACAAACATGGTGGGTTTGGAATCCCAATCACCTAGATTTTCAACCCCAAATTGTAAACTTAACTCCAAGTTGATTCACTTTGTAACTTGTATAACAAATATGAAGATGATAATTGACTACGCGTGTTTGGGTGGATAATTATATGGATAATAGGAAAGCTATCACAAGTGTAAAACAAATTTTAATTCACTGTGTGTGTATCAATGGACAATTACATATAAGTTTGTATAATAGTGGAAGTGATCTAGGTTAGAGTTTCAAAATGAAGTGCGACGGAGAATGACATATGAACTAAATCTATACCCATCGCATTGCGTGTTTGAGAAAGTGTTGTAATGTTTACCCGTACCAGATCAGCTCACAATTCTGGTGACCATGATCTAACTTTCTCACTACATCTTCTCCCTACTCCTTTCCTGTACTGATAGTCCACCATGATTTTTCCACAAAAATGTCCTTTTCCAAGATTTGAGTCTTGCTCTTAAAAGCAATGTAAGCAATTCTGAAAATTTGAAAAATTTTACCCGAGATATCGTTCCAAAGGCATTTGAAAAGTGACAAGTATGCCCCTAATCCTATGTAAACAACAGGTGCTTGATTAACTGTTATGTGGCAGAGTTTGGGAGCATTTTATTATGTTTGGTTGTTGATACATTTGTGCATGGATATTGTTCCTGTGGGCATTGATTTTTATTATGTGTGTTGTACAGAGGCACAGAAAAGTTGAAACCTGGAGATGCTTTGGTTATTAATCAGAGAAAATTCAGTGCACAAATAATTTGTGAAATTTGGAACCTGCTTATATAGTTAATTCCGTTGATCCAATTTTTTTTTTAAAACTTTTAGGTAATGCTGCAATGGAATTCTTGAGGTTCATCATATTTTCACTTTATCCAATGTCGGAGCATCTAAGTAAATTTATATGATGTGAGGTGGACCATATTTGTGCCGAGTCTAGCAGTGAGTGTAAGGTGGATCCTCAATGGATCTGGATTTTCCAGCCCCCGTAATGGAGTCCAGTGTCACTGTCAGGAATACAAATTTAGAGCCTCGAGATGATATGGAATTTGATTCAAACGAGGCTGCTTATGAATTTTATAAAGAATATGCGAAGTCTGTGGGGTTCGGTACAGCCAAGTTGAGCAGTCGTCGTTCCAGGGCGTCAAAGGAATTCATTGATGCAAAATTTTCATGCATACGATATGGAAACAAGCAGCAGTCTGATGATGCTATTAACCCACGACCTTCGCCAAAGATAGGTTGTAAAGCAAGCATGCATGTGAAGAGAAGGCCGAATGGAAAGTGGTTTGTGCATAGTTTTATAAAGGAGCATAACCATGATCTTTTACCAGCCCAAGCACATTTTTTCCGAAGCCACAGAAATACAGATCCACTTAAGAATGATGCTAGAATGCGGAGGAGGAAGATCTTAGCTGCGGTGTCCAAACAATATGGTGCATATCAATACAGTGGTTCTTTGGAGAATTACATTCGAAATCAGCATGATAGGGGCCGGAATTTGACTTTAGAAGCAGGAGATGCTCAAGTGTTGCTTGAACTTTTTGTGCATATGCAGGAAGAAAGTCCAAAATTTTTCTACTCCATAGACTTGAATGAAGAGCATCGACTGAGGAATGCGTTTTGGGTTGATGCCAAAGGCATGGATGATTATACTCACTTTTGGGATGTAGTTTCTTTTGACACCACGTATTTCATGAACAAATATAAGATACCGTTAGTTTTCTTTATTGGAGTAAACCATCATGTTCAACCCACGTTGCTTGGTTGTGCTTTGATTGCAGATGAGACGGTATATACGTTTGTTTGGTTAATGCAAACATGGAGTTTATCGATGGGTGGACGAGCTCCACGAGTGATACTTACTGACCAAAACAATGCCATCAAAGCAGCTATTGCAACAGTTTTTCCGGACACACGGCATTGTTTTTGTCTGTGGCATGTATTGGAAAAGATACCTAGGCAGCTGGATTATTTGGGCTTGTGGCTTGATTCTTTTATGGAAAAATTTGATAAATGTGTTTACAAGTCATGGAATGAGGAACAATTTGAAAAGAGGTGGTGGAAATTGATTGACAGATTCAATCTCAGAGAGGATGGATGGATACAATCATTGTATGAAGATCGCAAAATTTGGGTGCCTGCTTTTATGAGAGAGATATCCTTTGCTGGTTTATCTACGGCTTCTCGATCTGAAAGTTTGAACTCATTTTTTGACACATATGTCAATGGAGAAACATCGTTGAGAGACTTTATCGAACAATACAAAGTAGTCCTTGAAGATAGGTATGAAGAGCAAGCCAAAGCAGATTTTGATGCATGGCATGAAACACCGGAATTGAAGTCTCCTTCACCTTTTGAAAAACAAGTGTCATTAGTGTACAGTCATGAAATTTTCAAGAAGTTTCAAGTTGAGGTTTTGGGAGCAGCTGCATGTCATCTTAAGAAAGAAAAAGAAGAAGCAAGTACTATAACATATTCTGTTAAAGACTTTGAAGGCAATCAAGATTTTATAGTTGAATGGAATGAATTGAAGTTGGATATATATTGTTCATGCCGTTTATTTGAATTTAAAGGATATCTTTGTAGACATGCTATTTTGATTCTCCAAATGTCTGGTGTTTTCTGTATACCGTTTAAATACATACTGCAAAGATGGACAAATGCTGCTACAAGCAAGCATTCCATTAGTGAAAGATTGGATGAAGTACAATCTAAGGTTCGTCGCTACAATGATTTATGTCGACGAGCAATAATATTGGGTGAAGAGGGGTCTCTTTCTCAAGAGAGTTACAATGTTGCATTGGATGCCATTAAAGAAGCTTTGAAGCAATGTGCCAATGTGCATAACTTGACTGCGGGTGAGAGACCTGATACGCCAGTAACTCTTGCAATTTGTGGTACCAAGGAAGAGAATCATGGTGGCGCTTCATCATTTAAAGAGCAGGTGCCTAGTTTTGCAGTGAACAAGACGAGCAAGGCTTCTAGGAGGGCAGGGTCTGGTAAAGAAAAAGCAGCTAATGATAATAATGCAAACAAAAAAGGGAAGGTTAGTACAATCGACTGTTAATTTCTTTATGCTGTTTGTGTTACTGTTAGGTCTTCTAGATTTAAATGAACTATTAAATATTCTTCATATATATGCATCAGCTTATGGCAGAGGCAGAAGTTTCAAGTTTTGGGGCACAAGGCAGCTTTCATCAAATGGTGTGTTCGACTCTCTTCTTCATCCTAGTCTGCTGCATATATCTGCTTCTAATTCTTCTAAACTAAACTGTAGAATTTTTCATGGTTCAAATGCTTGTACAATTGATCTTCCGTGACTTGTGTTATATTTATTCTTTTTTCCCCTTTAATAGAATATGAGTGATCTAATTTTATTAAAGAACCTTGGCTGCCCATCTATTTTTCCTTTATAAGCTAGAACGATAAAATTTTCGATATCAACTTCTTGACAAAATAAATTTAGCTGTAAGGTCACCAAATTGAATTTCTTTTCAGTGTGTCTGATATTTCTACGTAACACACAATACATCTCGCATATCGGAAGGTAATATGCAATATATCTCATCAGCATAGTAATAGTGCGTTGGCGGTTGAGTTTGAACCAAGATAAGCAAAAGTAGATACTTTGGGATTGGGACCTCTTGTTGGTGGAGTATAGCACCTACCTGATGCCTTACTATGGTGCGCATTAGGGCAAGTAGACAGAGCAGTGGAAAACTCTCTCTCTCTCTCTCTCACACACACACACACACACAAGAAAAAATATATAGGCACACAAAGACACATGCACCCGCATGCTAACATTTGCATGTGCACAAATGTAATGATGATCTAAATTATTGTAAGGGGTTTAGATTTCTGCAGGGAAGTTGTAACAAACTTGAACTTCAGTCATTTACTAGTTTTAGTTGAATGGGTGGAGAACTAATTTGGAAAAAGATGTGTGACACAATTGGATAAGTGAAACATTTCTAGTGCTATTTGTGCGGTGTGATGCCATAGTTTTATTTTAATGGTCTTTTTATACTTGTTGCAGGAACTGCCTAACATGAGGCCAACACAGTTACATGATGAGGTGCCAGCACAATTACACGATGTAGTACCAGCATTATTTCATAATGTGGGATCAACACAGTTTCATAATGTGCCACCGCCGCATTTGCAGAGTGCGCGGCTTCCTCATTAGCCCGAAGTCCTGAATGTACAGGTTTGTAGAGATTGATTGTTGTAGTGATACCAAGTTTTGCACATGTCCAAAATTGAAAAGATCCATGTAAGATGGTTGCTAGTAAACATGTTCTATGCTTCTTTACTCAATCAACTGGCTTCAGTTTCATTTTTTGTGAAGGCTTTCACTCTTTGTATGGGAGTTTCATTTATGAGTAGGATTGATCTTGTTGGCCTGGGACATCCTACCTTATTTTGCAAACAGACCCTTACAAAAATTGTTGAAAGCAAGTGATATCACCAGAAGGTTAGACTTGTTTGGTGATGTATTGGAGGAACAAGAGTAATGGAGCTGAAGGTTGTGGATTTAAACATGGAATTTAAGAGCTCTCCCCAAGGTGAAAAAAGGTATGCCAAATTTTTTCAGCGTAATTAGGCATCAGATTCTCTGAATGCTGCTGCATTTCATAATATGGTTAAAGTGTTTAATATCATTATCTCATTGGTTGTGCTGACAACTTTTGAAATTCATTTTGACCTTTGGGAACATGACTGAAATGAACCTTTGTAAACTATAGGAAGCGTTGATCGCTGAAAGGCTGGCCTTTGCGGTGCATCTATGACTAAAATGAATTTATTATATGTTTTGGTACCTGAGACTCTAATGTGACGGATAAGATTGATTTGTCCCACCGACACAATGATGTGAGTTCGATTGTTGCCCTTTTTTTTTTGAGTCTTTATAATAAAACAAAGCATGAAACACACAACAGCAGCTCAGATCGCTCATATTCTTCGAAAAAAAAAGTAAACATTTAAACCTCAGAAGATAAATCAATGTGCCTAGTTAAGTTGACTCGAAGCAACGACACTTCGCTATGGTTTCTTTTGATTTCAACAGGTTCTGTGAACGTATGGTTTGCACACGGTCGGGGCAATTTATATACTTTGATTGTTATTGTATTTATTTTTACAAAATTAAGAGTAAGAAACTAGGGTTCGAAAAACAAAAAACAAAAAAACAATGAGACTTCACGGGATTCTTGATTTTTGACATCTTTTGTTAATTGTACCATATCGCTGGTACTTCCTTTTGTTTTGTTCACCCCCAATCCCCAACAACTTTTTCTGGGTGTTTTTTGGGCCCTCACCGGAGGCCGGGGGGGGGGGGGACTGGCTTGTTACGATGTATATCCATAGGAGGCTTGGCTTCTCTGTTCTGATCTGCATAAAGAATTAACCAGGTAATAAGCTATAGTGATCTGTGATCCAAGTCCGTGAGAGAGGCTGTGCTAAGCTAGCTAATCCTGGGCATAGTTTGTCGGTGGTATTTACTTTGCAAATACCCGTCGTCCAAAAAGTAATAGAGATTTGAAGAGTAGCATTTAACAAGTTTGAAAAAGTAAAACATTCAATGTGAAGCCCCAGGAGCCAATGCAAAATCACCTACTCATTGACGAGGGCATATCATTTATAGCTTCTTTTAACTGTTTGAAGTCGCTTTAACCAAAAATTGATGAGCACATATGGAGAAAGACTTATGCCACAGTTGTACTAGGAAAAAAAACAGCATTGAACAGACCCCTTGTTGCCAAAAAAAAAGACCCCTTGACTCGTGACCTAGGGCCTTTTTTGAGGTGTCTTTAATACGGAGCGTGGCGTGCACACGAATATGGGTGTGAGCCGGTCACGGAAAAAGATGGTTTTTGCAGACTTAAAACGAGCTCCAGACCGAGCACTGGAGTAGTCGGAGTCGGAGCCAGGGATGCTTGGGACATTCGCTCTTGGGTTTACATATGCCAATAGAAATCGTTCCACAAGTCCAAGCTTAAAGTTGCCATTGCAGGAGTGGGAAGTGAGACACTGTTTTCTCTCCAATTCCACACTTAACCAAACAAAGCAAATAAAAATACACTTGGCCCGGAAAGGTCGCTTCGTGTAAGTTGTCTGCCTGCATCCGATTGACAGAGATATGGCTGATGACGGAGAGGAATTTCACAATAACAAATCTTCGTTTTCACCCTCATTAAACTTTTAATTATAAAATTTTTAAGCTCATTTCTTTTATACTCACATCACTAGTAATTAAGATCATTTCATTTTATATTCACATTCACTATTGACTAAACTTATCTTAATCTTTACTTTTAGATTTTATTTTTATATTCTATCTTACACACCCCTATATAGAAATATATTCAACTTGATTCTTTAGTATAGTTTTCTCAAGTGATATTGAAGTTGGTATTGGTTTCAAGTTTATTTTATTTTTGCTGTATGTATTTTTTTTGTATTAATATCAATGGTTGCCATTTAAAATTTGTGTATAATATATATATATATATACTAGTTATTGTCTGTGTAGTAATAAAAAATGATAAACAATAAATATATTTGTATTTATATCCAAAATCAAATTACAAATATAGAGAAGAAATAAATAAATTTAAACATCGGTTTGCAGTGAGGGTGAGAGGTGGTAAGCGACAGTGGTGGTGGTGGTAAGTGACAGTAATAGTTGTAGTAGGTAGCAATAACCGTGGTGGCGGTGACAGTGGCGAGGGTAGTGGTGGCGGCGACGATAGTGGTGGTGGGCGTGGCGGTGGATGTGGCAGCGGTGGTGGTGATGGGTGTGGCGGCGTGGGTGGCAGGGAAAGTGACGGTGGCGACGATGGGGGTGGTGGGGTGGTGGCGGTGGTGGTGGCGGCGACGTGGCGATGACAATGGTGGTAATGGTGGCGGTGGTCATGGTGGCGATAGTGGCGACGACGATGGCAGTGGTGGTGGTGGTGGTGGCGGCGGTGGTTGTAGTAGTGGTGGCAACGGTGGTAAAAATAGTGGTGGGACGGTTTCAAATGTTATTTTTTTTTAAGTATTTATGAGAAATAATTTCTAAAAATATTTTAAAAAGTCACTCCAAACACATCCTGAAGAGCCTATTTTTCCTATTAAATTTAGCGTGTTAATATTAGCCGTAAGTTTAACTTTAAAGTAAAATTTAAAGCGATCTCAATCGCGAATAGTAAAAGTCATTTTGTTTATATATATATATATACACACATTAGGGATAACCCGTGCCTGAAAGCGCGGTGCAACTAAAAAAAATTGAACATTGAATTTAAAAGCGAAATAATCAAACACTGAACTTGGACACGCTCTATATCACGTGTCTAAATGTATTGTACGTAGTTTTTAAACACAAAATAATTAAACAATGAATGACTTCAGTGATATAAAAGGGGTCAAAATGTGGATACTCTGTAAGGAACTTTCAATTTTTCGACAGAGTATCCTCTGAAAATATGATGCTAAAAATATATCAACCTGTTTACAAAACTTATATATTTCATAATCATAATCAAATCATGTCATATGCAAACTGAAATCCAACTATGTATCGTCGTCGAAGCTGCATACCTTTCTTCGTAAAAATAACCTAATCTAGGTCTTAAAAGAAATGTGCGTAATTAAATTAATGGGCATACTAATACCTTTGGGCCATGAAGATTTAGGTTCAATGCAATCACAACCTATTTCTTACAAAAATCACATAACCTGAATTTAAAAACTCTATCCAAGTCATGAAAATCCAACTCACACGTTAAAATACAGAAAAAGAGACATGGATAGAAGAGTGGACTAAAACAACAGCAACATATCAAAGTTTTGACAAAATACATAAGAGATCACCGTCGTCACTTGAGTTGTGTCGTCGCTGAAGCTGTAATGCCGATGATCACTTTTCATTGTGAAGTTCACTGAAAAAATACATAAATTGGACAATAAGCATAGGTACCGCATAATAATTTAAACTAATTAAAGCTCAAACCAAAAAATTAAAGCTAATTGAAAAATAAGTTGAAAGCCTAAAAATGCATCCTTCAATACACCCGTGTTTTATATAGATGATTAAAAAAGTATTACCTAAATGAACATATACTACATATAACAACTTTATGCTCATGAAAAAAAGGTACAAATGGAGACAATACAACCAACCATCGAAAATTCTAACTTAAAAATTTTTTCCAAGTTTATTTAAGAAGGCAGCATCAATGGTGAAAAACACAGCAAATCATATGCAAACCAATCTACATCTCCCCTATCCGCCCACATGACTCTATCTAATCCTCTGGCTTACAATTAAACTCTCTTAACCTTTATCAAAAACAATTCATATCTGATTTCGGCCAAAACACTACATTACAAAGCTAAAATCATAAGTAACGAATGCCCTTTTTTATATCAAACCCACTAAAAAAACACCATTTTTTCCCTAAGGTATGACACTACAAATGACAAAATATTTATAAACCAATCTCCTATACTTATAAAAAAAAAACACACACACAACAAATATAGCAATTAAACAAACAAAAAATTAATAAACATATATGACAACCACACAAAAACTAATCACAAACTACTGCCTAAAAAGCCATCATATGTACAACAAAACTCAAAATAAAAAATTCTCATAAAACCTATGCAACTCAAAAAAACCAAAAATAACAAAGGGACAACAACAATTAGGAAATGTGCACAGTTATTATTCAATGACCTCAATTTCATTCTACACAACACAACTAAGTCAGAACACTTGCAAAGATAACTAAAACTAAGGGGTCATTTGGTAATGTTTTCGTTTTCGCGTCTTCAAATCAATTAAAAACAAAGATAATTTTTGTCTCTATTTTGTGATAAATACTGAAACATAAAACATGTTTGGATGTCATTTTTATCTATCAAATTATGAGAATAAAAAATAAAAAACATGTTTGATAACTACTTCATGTTTTATTCTAAATATGCTTTATAATATTTTGGGGCAAGATCAAAACTATGTAATTAAAAGACAACTGATGGCAAATTGACAACGTAAATTATCAGATAATTGACTTGTATGAGTGTCATCAAATGGATATTCACTCTCAATTCTTTTGTCTGACATCTGTTTCACTTCATTAACATATTATAAACACTGAAGGATAATAGAATCTGCATTATGATAAGCTTCAAACCATAGTAAGTAGAAGCTTTATTCACATATCAACACTTGGACAATTTTAAAAGAAACAAAAACAGCCTTGATAGATCCTTTTAAAAGAAACAAAACCAGCCTTAGATCTACCAGCACCAAGCTCTTGCAATCAAGCTCCATGCCTTAGATCTACCAGCACCAAGCTCCAGCACAAATCAGCACAGCACCAGCCCAGATGGATTAAACTATTTCTAATTACATTTATGACCCCCCTTGATTTTTAAAAAGCTCCTGCCTGCATGCCCCATTCCATACTTAGAAATAGGCTAATGCAGAACAACCCGACTTCTAGAACAGTCCCAATTTAGACTGTAGAAACAGTCTAAATCTGAACCAACTGCAAATAGTCCTTCAACATTCCACCTCAATCCATCAGATATCAGCTTCATACAAACCAGCAGACAAAGCACATCAGCGTAATAGTGTTGCAAAGCAGCATAACAACAAGCAATGCTAGCAGCATAACAGTGCTGCATAGCAACATATCAGGCATACAAAGAAGTGCATTAACATGCAGTACCACAACACCATCTAGCTATAAAACTT